AGTCGGTGGTTGCAGAGGCTTGGAGGTGCGTTAGCGATAATGAAGATCGAGGAGCGGCATAAAGTGGTACACTTATTACATCACATCGGTAAGACGGCATTCAATAAATTGTGCGATGCATACGGAGGGGAGGACCCATACAAGAAAGAGTACGAAGAATTAACGAAAAAGTTGAAGGAATTGTACGACCCCTGGAAATTGCAGAATTTTTAAAATTTAACTCGAGGAAGCAATTACCAGGCGAGAGTGCGTTGGATTATGGCACGTGTTTAAGTAAGTTGAGTGTAACTTGTGGTTTTGCTACCTTCCGGGACACGGCGATGAGGAACCAGTTTGTGTTTGGCCTACTAAATAGGCGTATTCAAGGCCGATTGCTGTAGACGAAGGATCTCACACACACGAAAGCTTTGCAGATAGCTACGGCGATGTAAATTTCCGAGAAAGAAACGAATGTGACAAAGTTTGAATTGGATACCGGTGCGGCAGTGACCTTGATGTATCAGCGGCAAGCAGAGTTATTATTTAGAGACTATAAGGTGTTTTCGACGGGATTGTGCTTGGTGTCGTATTGCAAAGCGCGGATCAAAATAATCGGGTACAGATGTGTAACGGTTCGGCATAATGAGAAATTATTCAAATTAAATTTGTACATTACGGATGTGCGCCGTGATCCTCTACTCGGGCGCGAGTGGATAAGGCAGCTGTTTACAAACAGGGACGGGCCCTTAGAACCGATGTTAAAGGTACAAAATATTGATTCCGAGGAAAATAATCGCGACTATTTTAAATTTATTGCTGGCGAAATACCTGAGAATCTTCGACACCAGACTTTCGAAAATAGAGGGTTTACAAGCAAGCTTAATGCTGAAGCGAAACGCGAGGCCAGTGTTCGTAAAGGCGCGACTGTTACCTTTTAAATTAATTCCATTGATGGACAAAGGGATCGATTTGTTGCTTAAAGAAGGTGTGTTTGAGAAAGTCGATACGTTGGCATTCGCGATCCTGATCGTGCCAATTTTAAAAAAGGATGGTTGAGTGCGTAATTGCGGAGACTATCGTGTTACCATCAATTCACAGTTGCTAGTTAACGAGTATCCCTTGCTAACGATTGACGAATTATTAACAGAGATGGCCGGATGTTGCGTGTTCGCAAAATTAGATTTTAAATTGGCGTATTTGCAACTGGAAGTAGACGATAAAACGGCCAAAATCCTTACTTTGAATAAACATCGGGAATTGTTGCGGTGTAAACGCTTAATGCACGGTATTCCTTCAACTCTGGCGATATGGCAAAAACTAATGGAAAATATTTTACGCGGTTTACCGGGCGTTAAGGCATTTTTTTTAGATGATATTGGCGTGGCCACTAGATCTGTGCAGGCACTTTTGGAAAGGCTTGAGTCGGTTTTTCAAATATTGAATAAATGTAATATTACAATTAATACACAAAGATGTGAATTTTTCTGCCCAGCGATGCATTACTGTGGCTACATAATGGATAAAGGGGGAGTGAGGAAAGACGAAAATAAAATGAAGGCCATAAGAGAAATGCCTGTTAGGTCTGTGTGTTTGCATCACCGGCGCGAGTAGCTCGCAGGAGCGCTCGAGGACAGGCTCGAGAGAGATGCAGGCGGACCCAAGGACCGAGCGGGACTCTCCTTTCTACCTCCACAATTGATTGCTTATGTAACATTACTTGATTAATATGGTGTACAATTAAATATAGTGTACAAGGTAACAACGCGACTATTCATTACAACCGAACTTCGATCTTTCCTCAAACTACTCATACACAACAACGATTAATAAAATAATTAATAAATTAACTATATCAGTCTACAATTCGCTAACACCTATTATTTCATCACTATCACCGTCACCGTCACCATCATCATTGACATTATCGTTATCATTATAAACATCATTATAATCATTACTATCATACTTGGTTTTTGTAAAAAATATCTCTCCACAGTCATCATCTTCGGTAAACAATACATCATTCACATTTTTATATTTCCTATCATCAAAATTAATGTTGTGTGTATTATCATTATGCACTGTGCCACTATTACAATGATTTTGCACTACAATAGTAATTTTTTTTCCCGAGTCTGCAGAGTCACTTCTTACTTTTTCATCGCTCCTTCTGTTCCGTATAAACTTCATTTGCAATTTTAAGTTGTATAAATAATTATGTCTTAAAAAAATTTTATCCATCGGGCCAAAATAACAGCATCCAATGGACTACGTTTTTTTCGCTATGTGCACAATTTTGAAGCAGCGCCATCCTAGGGAAAAACGAGAACTATTGGTCTGGCACAGCAGAAGGTAATATTCGTGATATGCTTGATACCTATAGGAACACAGCACCTCGATAGATACACAAAAGGTTCTGTGTTTATTATATCACGAACTAATACAATGTCTGAAGTGGTACAATCCTATGTGAATAACTAAAGACAAAATTTGTACTACAAGCACTATAAGCGCTTGAGTATTACTTCAACACAAGTCCGTGTACTGTGTGATACAAGATATGTTTTATTAGTTTGCAATGTAGTCAACACAGACCTCCTCTGACCAATCAGAGAGCTCCGTTAGCCCTGTACCGGCGTGTTCACACAGTATGTACACACGTTCATACGATACGCTTAGAGGATCAAGCCCCAGCTAAAAACTCTAAGAAATACACAGTATCCAATGTATTTCACTGCGTTTTTTAATGAATATGCCTGAGTAAAATATGTACATACTACTCATAATTTTATTAAAAATTTAACCCTTAGAATGGTTGTCGATGTATAAACACATAACTTTCTGATGATGGTAATGCTTAGCAGTCTGCTAGCAGAAAACAAACCTATCGTTTAGTTTCACAAATTAGCACAGGTATTGCTGCGATCGCTTTTTCAGCTTGTGCACGTAGCGAATAGCAAAGACACATTACCTACCATGGTATATTGTAATGTTTATGGGCCTTGCACGCGTACTGCTCTAATGTTACCGGAATCTACGGTCCTCGTACACGGGCAGTAAACTTCCCTGATAACACTACATTCTTATGACATGAAAATTATCTTGAAACAACCATAAATAGACGTTATAAAGGAAGCTATTAACTTTTTCCGATCAGATAGGCTCCGTGCTCAAAAACCGCCAGCGCCAGTTCGTAAATGAATGGTGAGTCCGTGCAGTCTTGACAAAGAGGATCTTCGCATACCCCCACCACTATCAGAACAGTCCGTTGGAACAGCTCCGAAGCCGATCAAAGCAGAGCTAGAGCAGTAGTGTAGGGGAAGACTTATTTCTGCTTGGATTCCCATATTCTAAGGAGTGTTCGGTATTTAAATAATAACACAAGCGACTATCACCTGATGACCCAGGGTGCTTCACTGGCCACTCAAATAAATGATACCGCTAGCGACCATATCACCTGATGGCCCGGGGCACTTACTAGCTAATCTAATAAGTAATAAATTGTTTAATAATAATAACTCAAGCCCCTATCACCCGATGACCAAGAGAGCTTACTGGTCACTGTAACAAATAATTGAAATGTTAAATAATAACACAAACGCCTATCACCCAAACATCTAGGGCGCTTACTTAATAATCGCCTTGTGTCATTGAGTGATAGGCGCTTGTGTTATGATTCAACATTTTTAATATTTATTAGAGTGGTCGGTAAGCATCCCGGGTCATCGGTTAAAAGTCTCTTGCGTTATAATTCGTGATTCAATAATTTATTGGAGTAGCCCGTAATCTCCCTGAGTCATCAGATAATAGTCGCTTGCGATAAAACTAAAGACTTATATCTTCATAAGAGTAGCCAGTGAGAACTTAAGGTCATTGAGTGAGCTTGCTTTATTTTTTAAGATTTAATGATTTATTCAAGTGTCCAGTAAGCGCCTCAGGTCATCAGGTGATAGTCGGGTGCGTTATTCCCTTGGGATTTATATCTTCATTAGAGTGGCCAGAAAGCGCCACGGGTTATTGGGTGATAGGTGCTTGTGTTTTAATATTTGACATTTAAATTATTTATTAAAGTAGCCAGTCAGCGCTTTAATTTGGGTCATCAGGTAATATTCACTATTATTAATTAACATTTTAGACATTTATTNTTTTTGTAATATGACATGTATATACTACACTTACATACTAAACAAATCATTAAAGTGAAAGTAACTGATCAAAAAACATTAATTTGGTAGTTTTAATTTTGTGTTGTGTACTTTGTTCATATGAAATTAATAAATTTATATGTACATGTGAATTGTGCAAAAAAAAAATATATATATATACATCCAATAATTTATGTAAATAAATATCCAACGATTTTCTGTGTTGTATAAACTATAAAGGTTATAACTCCGTTAGCCGTATATATATATATGTATTGTATAACTACTGCTGCTTCTCGGTGCTGAATATATAACTATATATATCTGCGCACTTCGTTCTGCGCACATGTGGCAGGACTGATATGAGGCTTTTTCTAGCTCAAAATCGGGTCAGATGGAACGAACTTTCGGCGGAGGCGTAAGGAAAAAAAGGCTCCCACACCATCGGTTTAGCAAGCGACGCTTATGTTACCGTTAGATAAAAAGTGCATCGTGCATATGGACGCGGAACAGTACCTTGCGTCAGAGTAGCAGCCAATGTTTATGAAGAGTTTAAGTGGGAATAGTTTGATGTCGTGTATTTAATAAAAAAAATTATCGGATGAATGTCATTTTTTGAAATTTCCTGTCACCTCATACTGTTATAAGTACAATCACATGTAAAAGCATTAAAAAAGTATGGTGATTATTATGTTAAATTAATATTTCGTTGACTTTCGTCGATACGTAACGTTGAGTTCCTCATCCATGTGCACACGATGCACTTTTTGTTTAACGGAAATGGAAGCGTCACTTGCTAAGCCGATGGTGGGGGAACCTTTTTTCTGACGTATCGTTCCGGTGGCTTTTTCCGCAGCCGTGTAACCGCGGCTTTAAGGAACTCTAGACTCTAGATGAGTTTAACCAATAAAAGTCCAAGAATAAAATGATGACAATATGGCTGCACCCTTTAGGCCATCTCCTTGTAAAGGTGGAAAAAAATTTCTTTTTTAAAAACAAAAAAAAACCACTGATCTTGCAAGCGAATACACCGGTGATAAAAAAATAGTAGCATAGAAATGGCGGGAAAGAGCTGTAGTGCCAATGTAAACGAAAAAAATGGTAACTTTATATGCGGTGTCGTTGAAGGTAACAGACTTGATTAATTTTCTTACTGATTTTTTATTTTTTCATTACATCTTGTTAAGTTATTTACTATAGATTAAAGTTTCTCTCTCATTGTTTTGCCGAATTTCTCTTTATATTTAAAGGTGTATACATATGTATTCAACTAATGTATCAAGAATTTTGTACATCTATGCATTTTGTATCTTGTACAAAAATACATGTAGATTTATACATTATTATACAAGCACCTATTAATACCCATCTGCATAACGTTTATAATGCACCCGTGTCTTCATAAAATTATTTGGATGCATGGTTAGATTGAACTCTGTGAAGGTGCACAAAATCATGTCTATCTCAAAGTAGTAATCTCTTTAATTGATTTGTGCTTTGTCAACTGTTGACACTATAAAGTGTTTCGGTATATAACACATCTTTGATAGACTATTGAGAGCAAGTTGCTTTTTTGATATTTACAAAGATTTGTTTGCTTACAGGATTTTATGGTAGGCCATGGACCACTGAACAGCGAAAAGATTTATTCAGAAAGTATGCTTTCTCTTTGTTGTTATACTGCTCTATGCTTTAAATATCTTGCATGATATACTTAAAATTTGTTCAATGCAGGTTAAAAAAATGGGGTATGGACTCATACTTATATGCCCCTAAAGATGACTACAAACATAGGGCTTATTGGCGAGATCTATACACAGTTGAGGAAGCTGAGCATCTGACTGGATTAATTACTGCTGCCAAAGAGTCTGGAATCACTTTTTACTATGCCCTATCCCCAGGCTTGGATATAACTTACTCCAGTGTTAAAGAAGTAACAGCTTTGAAAAGGAAACTTGAGCAGGTCAGTCTGTTTGGCTGTCAAGCATTTGCACTATTGTTTGATGATATTGAGCCTGAAATGAGTGAAACTGACAAGGAAGTTTTTCAGTCCTTTGCACATGCCCATGTAAGTAAACACTTTTTTGATTCCTTAATAAGTGAAAATAAATTTCTGCTATATTTTAATACCTAGGTGCCCACAAGTAACTGTTAAATGTGAATAATTGGGATTTGGGATGGAAAGTAACTTCTTATTTTGTGGGATCTATCAGACAGATTATCACGTCTCATAATTAGCAATAATTATAAAATTGTAGATGATTAGAAACTCAAATGTTTCATATTAAGTTCTTTAGTATTAAATATTTTCTCTAGTTGAACTGAAATAAAACATTTTAAAAACTAAATGAATTTTGCGCTAAGTTTATAATTAATTAATCACTGTGGATTCTATAAAGTCTGATCCACTTACTGTAAGAAACTTGATGCAATGTAATCAAGATAATTATTTCTGACACTTGTTTGGCAGAATATGTACCAAAAACCAAGAAAGACTTTTCATAATTGTTTCTACCTATATGGTTGATAAATTTAACACGCTAGTGTAAATGTTGTGAATAACTAAAAATGCATATATTTTTTCAAGGTTTCTATTACAAATGACGTTTTTCAACATTTGGGTCAACCTTATTTTCTTTTATGTCCAACACAATATTGTGCTGCACGAGCCATGCCAAATGTTTCAGCTTCAGAGTATCTAAATACTATTGGAAACAAATTGGCAAAAGAAATCGATATAATGTGGACTGGGGCCAAGGTTATTTCAAGACAATTGACACTTGAATCAATAGAAGAAATAACAGAAGTTTTTAGAAGGCCTCCAGTTATATGGGACAATTTGCATGCAAATGACTATGACCAGAAGAGAGTTTTTCTTGGTCCTTACTCAGGGCGATCTCCAGATTTAATACCGAAACTTCGCGGTGTTCTAACAAATCCTAACTGTGAGTATGGTGCAAATTTTGTTGCGATTCACACTTTGGCACAGTGGAGTAGATGTAACATTGATGTCAAACGGGATCTTAATTTAAGTAAGATGGTTTTCTTTTAATATATATTGTTATTCTTTGTTTTGTGTTAGCTTTATTGCATGTTATCTTATAAAGTAGTAAGGTGCCGATTGTTATACCTATTTTAAAATTTTACACTAGAAATGAATTTAGTTTAAAAGACATTATACTTCTATTCTGCTAAGACATTAGCATACAAAGATTTTCAGTGCGCTGATTAGGGTTAGATCAATAGATAGATGTGGGTATTACTGGCATTTTTTTTTCAGGTCACTTTAATTTGCTGTGGAATGAAAAAAACGAATGAATTCACTCAATTTTTTTTATTTTCAACTCAATTGATTAACGGACACTAATGAATCTTTGCATTAATTCGGGTCAGATGGAACGAACTTTCGGCGGAGGCGTAAGGAAAAAAAGGCTCCCACAACATTTATTAGAGTTGCCAGTAAGCACCCCGTGTCATCGGGTGATTGGTGCTTTTGTTATCATTCAAAATTTAAATTATTTATTAGAGTGCTCAGTAAGCACCTTGGGTAATCGGGTGATTGTCGCTTGCTTAATTATTTGAGATTTAATGATTAATTAGAGTGGCGGTTTCAAGCTTTGCCTAAAACAGAATTTCTATTTCAACTGAACTGCTGCGGGAAAATCTAATGTCTTCTATACCCTGCTAGTCGAGTCAAAAGTCACTTAGGTGGCTTGTTTGTTCTTGAATTTCTTTGAATAAAGCTGTTTTGTCCTAGAAATTACTTAAAGGTAGGAGTGGCCGTAAACTGAAGCCCAAGCTTGTTTTGGTTGAGGTCAGTCATGCTGGTAGTCACGCAGGCCACTTGTTTACGTAAAAGGCTTGTTATTTCGAAGGTCAGTGGTCAGTCTTATTTTCGTTCGTGGTGAGTCATGCTACTTGTTGACGTTAAGGCTGCAGTCACATGGAGCGCAATAGAGCGAGCAGGATAGAAATTTCGCCAGCGGTTGTGTTAAGTCTATTGCGCCGCGCAATTCGTTGTATGCAGTATTTTGAAACAGCGCCACCTGCATGGCAAGAAGGAGGCGCTGCTGGATAACACATTACATAGCCTGTTGTGGGCTGCAAACTTTGTTAGTTGGTTTTTGTAGTTTTAATGCATTTTTGATACTTAAAGTATAGATTTTCAGTGTTAAGAATTTGTATTAAACAGAAAACAATTTTTTGTTGCATTATTTATTTATTTATTTTAACTGTAAAATAATAGTTGTTATCTGTTGGAAACAAATTCTTGACCCTAAAAATCGATTTAAGTATCAATGATGCATTAAAACTACAAAAACCAACTAACAAAGTTTGCAGCCCATAACAGGCTATGTAATCGTGTTATCCAGCATCGCCGATCGCCTCCTTCTTGCCGTGTAGGTGGCGCTGTTTCAGATTACTGCACATAGCGCATCGGGCTCTCCTGCAGTGCAATCATCGTTGGGTTAGGCGGATTCAATATTGGAACTTTTTCCCTAGATCGTATATATAGCTATACAATCTAGGGAGAATGTTCCGTCGAGCAGACAGCACAGCAGTGAAGGGGAATTGCCAAAGATGCGCGAAAATTAAAAATTGTAATACTGTAACACAAGTGCCTATCACCCAACGACTCGGGGCGCTAACTGGCCTCTCTATTAAATAATAAANTCTAACTCAGCTTGTAAATTAGCAATCTTGGATTGCAAATCTTTATATTTTTTTCGATGACTTGATTTTTGTTCGTTCTCACGTATCTTTTTTTATTATTGAATAAGGTTTGCTTTTTGCTTTTTAATTCGTTCCTACTCTTTAAGATAAGCTTTTTTGTTGCTTTTGCAATTTATCATTTTCTTTTTTAATACTAGCTTTATTTTGTTTTTCTACTCTAAGTTGTTTTTTGCTTCTGTGTCTTCAATTTTTATACGTTTTTCTTGATTCATGTCTTATGTCTGTGCCACACCGGACTTGAAATAAATGGAGTTTTAACCATAATTTTATATTTATAGCTTGATTTTAATGCATCTTTCTAAAGACCAATGGAGATAGTCAGCAAGACATTTGAACGGTTGATTAGTTTTTGGGTTTGTTCGTTCATAAACAATGTGGTGTAACTAATATCTAGAGATTATGTTAGATTTCGCAGTAATTGGAGTAGCGCCAGTAATACTCACATCTAACCTAACTTGTTTCATTTAAAGAAAGAAGATTCTTTTGTAAAAGTGCTGTCAATTACAGCTATAGTCAGGGCGCTAGAGCACTAAAAGGTGGTGGTGTTTTGTAACAATACGATATTTAGCTTAAAATTTAAACGAAAATACGTATAATACCCTAAATCGTCTACTTTCACGGAGATACGCGTTATTGTCTCAAATTGAAAAATAACTTGGAAATCAGTTCTTCTTCAGTTTTTATTAAACATTTTTTAAAGTTTTGGCTTTGGAGCAAAATGTTAAATACAAAAGTTGTTTATCTGATTATTTTACTCAAGGATGAAGCAATCAAAAAAATTAAAAACATTTTTCTACTCTTTAAACAAGCAAGATAGCCGAAAAACGCAAAAAAATTAAAATACTTGAAAATACGTATTGCAATATTCAAAACTGAACGGAAATCGAACAATTTATAGACAGTAGTGTATTTTTTAATATTCGCCAAGTTCGATTGCAGAATTTCAGGAAAGTGGCCTATTGTAAAATTGTGAATTAAAAATTTCGATTGTATACAAAAAGTACCACGGGCATCGAATCGACATCTTACTTTTTGGAATCAGTGAAGAATAATATTATTTTTTTACCTAAATAATTAGATTTTTTAAATAAACTAATAAAAAAGTTATTAACAAAAAACCGCAAGTGCAAGGCCGTATTTCTTGTAATTTTAAACTTGAACGAAAGTAACTTCGTGCAAGTGATTATGCTTATTTTCATGTGCTGCTGAAACAACGTGCATATTTTGAAATATAGTTACGGTAGAATATGTGTATTGGGATTCCAAAATATCAAGTGACTTTCGCGATATGTACAGGCAATCGGGGAAAAAATAAGACAGGACTTATGGGTACAATTCTATTTTTATTTTCTTACACGTTCAACGATTGTAATGAGATAAGAGCCTTTCAATAACATATTTTTGAGTAGATGACAATACCTTAGCTATTTTGTCCCAACTCAATTAGTCTTTTGCAGCTTAAAACTTTCCTTTGATAGTGCGAAAACGCACATTTAACCATACCAAAATCCTGCTTGTTTTCCTATATATAGTCGGGAACAGAAGAACTTTGTACAGGTTAAATGTGTGTTTTCGCACTTTCAAAGGAAAGTTTTAAGCTGCAAAAGACTAATTGAGTTGGGACAAAATAGCTAAGGTATTGCCATCTTCTCAAAAATATGTTATTGAAAGGCTTTTATCGTAATACAATCGTTGAACGTGTAAAAAAAATGAAAGTAGAATTGCACCCATAAGGCCTGTGCTATTTTTCCCCCAAGTGACTATATACATCGCAAGAGTCACATGACCTTTTGGAATCCCTATAAATGAGTCTTACACAAAAAATAGTAATAACTTAGGATTGTAACTTGATTTTTTGGACACAAAATAGTACTAACGAAACAGCATACTGAATGAAAATTTATTTGTAAACATTATTTTCTAGACTTCCCATGTAATTTTATGTAGAGTATTACTATCGCATTAAGGTAAAAGCACCAGTACTTGAACACTTTTTCCATAAAGTCTTTGTTTTCTCATTTTTATTGAATTTCTGATTTGCATAACAACAAAACAGTCATTGCGCCAGTAAGTTTATATTTTTTCCTTTAAAAAAAACAATAAAAAAGTTTTTCTAGGTCATGTGTACAATTAATAAATTAATTTTAAAGTTTTTTTACCAAGGACCCAGTAAATGAACAGCGTGTTCTGGTATTGGTACCGATACGTATTTTTGACCGAGTACTTGAACATCCCATGTTAATTAAATGGGAGAGAGGTTATGTTAGCTGCCTTCTACTGATTTCTATTTTTATTATGTATTGCAAATAACCAAATCGAAAAATTTCTTTCTAATTTCATTGGTAACATATTATGAAAACTATAACGACTGGCTTGACATACTATTATTATTGATTAACAGTGATTTCAATCATTTTTATGTGTTCAAGTACTGGGTATAGGTAAAACCTAATGGTACCAGTACCTGAACAGTCTCACAAGCCACCTCACACAAGTTGCACGAATAAATAATTTTTTTCTCGTTGAGTATAAAGACTTACTGAAATACAAATTTTGTTTTATCTAAAGAACGATCAAAGGATATCAGAAAAAATTTTTTTTTTATCCACTTAAATTGAAAATAAGTTATTCAAGCTGTTCAATCTACTGGTGCAATTTTAGGAAGTGTTCACGTACTGGTGCTTTTACCTTACATAATAATCGAGAAATTTGCGTACTAAGATACTGACTCTAATGACATCCGTGAAGATGAACGTAGCCATAGTCATGCGCAAAGTAATGATGAAATTTGCGTGAAAAAAGCTGCTTGAAGTCTTTGCTATTGTATATAAATGGAATACCATACGCGTATCGGCTTTTTCTTGCAAACATTCTAGGTGTGTTTCTTCAGTCTTCATAATGTTTCCTGTGATATTCACATAGGAGTAATAAAACTGTTCTGCTGTTAAAAAGACTTCTTACTGGCATTTTTATGGTAGCAGAACTGCTGTGAAAAAAATATTACTATGGCTTCTTTGAACTTTTTTGTTTTATCTTTTGTTCACAGCCCATTTTTTCGAATTTAAAAGAAAATTAGATGTTTCCTTGGAAGCTGCTCCTCCAGTAATAATGTTATACAAGAAATTTTCATCCAGCGCTTTGCTGAAAAGACTCATACTTTTAACAAGACATTCACGTAAAGTCTCTAGAGCTGTATGGTCTTTTTGGATTTGGTTGTATTGTAGTTCGTGCCCAATATCGTTCTTTTTTGTCAGTGGCACTTCTTCCAGTAAAGCAGATATTATTTTCACTCTTAAGC